TCAGTTTCAAGGTCTGAGTAAACCTTTTCTCTGCATTTTGGGATCTTCCCATCTTCCAACAAGCTTTCTTAGTCAGTGTATTGGCTGCTTTGTAAGAGCCATCACACATGAAGTGAGATATAGTTAGAACCCTAGATACCTGGAAAAACTAATACCTAATCCCTTAACATTCACAACTGTAAGCTGTGTAGTTGCCATTGCACAAAAGAACATTTCCATTATCAGAAATAATGAACGATATTTCCCCAGTACCCACTTGGCTAGGGTAATACGTTTGAGGCTTTGTGGTAGAAATTAATGATCTTACTAGTACTCCAGTGGCCTGGAATCCTTAATGAACATCCCTAAACACTCTACCTAATGCTGATAAGAGACATGGGCGCTTTGGGGAAAAAGAAGCCCATAATTACTTAGCTTTTTATTTAAATATCTTACAAATTGTTTAGTCTCTCCTTACATAATTTGGAATATAGACTTCATTCCTGAACGTGTCTTGGTGTCAAGGACGTCACATACCCTGACACACGTGGACAGGCAGGGAGGACGAGGTATTTAAAAAGTATCCCTGTGCCCAGTAGCTCAATTTCTATGTGAGAAATGAGTCTTTACTTTACTGGAGCCAGTTTATAAGTCAGTGGCCACCCACCCACTTCTGGTCAATCCAATGCTAATGGAAAATTCTAATGAGCATTTGAATGGGCTAGAGCTTGACAGACAAGAAATTACTGTATATTTAGAGGCATTTTACAAACTACCTCTATATCCAGAAAATTAGACTTGTGCACTTTCCTTTCTACCACCCCATTTTTTTTTTCAACTTGGTTTGGAAGTCACGGGGTGGAATCTGACTCATGCCATTAATGTCTCTTTGTTCTTGGTTCTAATGCTTTCACAGAAATGCTGTAGGCACTTCACTAAAATGACTAATTTACTGGAGAAGTTATCAGAGTCCATTCAGTTTCAACTATAAAATAATTCAAGTAAGACAATGGTGCCTGCTAGCACTCCATGCAGAAGGTTTGTCCCTGAAATGATTTGACTCACCCCAACATTACTTATCCATGAAGTTAAAGAAAGATCTCAATTGGAATGCCCTGTTCGTAATCTATCTGTCATTGTTGTTATGAATTAAGAAATGAAAAAAGATTTTTTTAAACGGTAAAACAAAGTCAAAACATTTCACACTGGTCAAGTGAATTTTGCCTCGGAAAATTTAAATATTTTAAATACTGTTTATACGATGTATAGAAGCAAAATTACCTTCCCCGAGATAGTTTCAAAAGAAGCGCTTTGTTGTTTGTTCTGGTAAGTGTGAAATATTCAAGAATCCACGTACATATTCTTATTTGCCATTTTTAATTTTCAGAAAACTGTCATTCATCATGAGCATAACAAGAAACACCAATAAGCTGAGAGTTAGAATGTAAATATGATAAAATGGAAATTGCCATGTTTGCCAATACTAAAACAGTGCTGGGTTACCCGGAGGCATGCCCTTTCTGTGGATTCTGCTCAATAAACTGTATTCTACACTAACTCACCCACCAACACCAGCTGGGATTTTCTACTAGTACTGAAGTCTCAGACACTTCATAACTGATTCTTATCCATATGAAAAAGAGGAAATGTAGTCTCCAAACAGCCATTCATTCAATAGTCAGAATTATTGTTTCCTTACAATATTAAAAATAAAGGAACGAAATTAATTGCTATAGATAGTAAGTATGGAAACATTCAAACTTTCAGCATCTGTCCTTTTAGAAAATTGCTACTCAAAGCCAAATGAAGTAAAACAATGATAAAAGAAAACTAGAATGTAAACAGATAGATATGATAGAAGAATATAAAGACTAGAGCAGTGACAGCATGCACTGCTTTCTGTCTCAAAATTTTTAATATTGTTTCTGTTGCTCTTCCCCCTAGTATCAGAGAGCCCGTGAATAGAGGGTTAGGAGAGATGAACCAGGAACATTGAAAGGGTTCAGAAATGTTAGCTCAAACATCAAAAGAGTGTAATTCCATAAAAAGCCCACATGCCCTGAGCCCAGTCCCCAAGGCCAGCTTCAGTTCTTACTCCTCCCCCACTTCCCTCATCCTTTGCAAAAATATTGAACTATTTTAAATTCACTAAACATGACAGGCCTTCTCACATCTCCTGCCTTTCAGAATAATGTTTCCTCTTCCCTCCCTGCTTCTGATAAATTCCTGTTTGACTAAGTTTTAGCCCAAATATAACTTCCTCTGGGAATCTTTCTCTTACTGCCCCAGAAAACCTAGATTCTCTTTCCTTTATGTTCCCACCATGTGTTATACAAGCTACATTATTAGAAATGCTCTCATTTTACTCATCTTACCATAATTGTGTGCATATTTTCCTCCCCACTAAGCCCTTTTTTTGAGAGAAAGAATTATATCTGATTCAATTTTATATCCCTAACATTTTTTTTTTTTACAGTGCCTGGCACGCTCTGGATGATCAAGACATTTTTTTAAGAATAAAATGAGAGAATTAAAATAACAAAGTTATGAATTCTGCCTGTAGTTTCATAAAGAATGTTTTGAAGTGGGAAATACAAAAGTATATATAAATAGGGTTTTTATGAGTATTTCCAAGTAGGGACTTCAAAATGACATCTCTACAAACAATAAGAATTGTCATAAGCCCAAAGTCAATACAGGAAGAAGGAAAGAGGACTCAATACTGACCCATAGGAGCTCTACTTTTTCAAATTTTAGAGGTAAGTAAAGAAGGAGAAAGAGTTGACCACAAAATAGGTAGAGAATAAATCTAGGAATTGTCCAGGAAGCCAAGTAAAAGCTCGTTCATGGGGGAAGAAGTGGTCACCTCAGTGAAATGTTGCTAAGAAATAGAATAAAAATAGCACATAAAAGTGTCCCCTGGACTGGACCATATGGAGACTTCTGGTGACTTTGACAAGAGCAATTTGTTTTCAGTGGTGGGATGAAAATTAGATTAGATTAGAGATGAAATGGAAATGCAGACAGCAGACACAATTAAATATTTTGAGAAGTTTGGTTTAGAAAGAGAAGAGAGACATGGGAAGGCTTAGTTGAAAGAAACACGAAGCCAAGAAAGAAGTGTTTTTAGCACAGAAGATATAAATGATCCATTAGACAGGGAAAGATTGACATCACAAGAGAGAAGAGATAACTAAAGAAACAAGGCTGTAACTATTTGGGAGGAGACGGGATCCAGAGCCCAAGTAAAGATTTTGGCTGTTGGTCAGAGTAGGTTCACTCTACCCTCAAAAGAGGGAAGAAGAAGCTGGATATGGAAGCACAGAGGTTCCTAGAAATGGTAGCAGGAAGATGAGAGTTAATTTCATGCTGAGCTCAGAGTCCTATTTAACACCATGTTCTTTAGCTTGTGCAGAAAGGCTGCCCTTTACATCTGTGTCAATCAGTATAGGCCATGTTTTGCAGGGCTCACAGACAACTGCAAAATCTCAACAGCTAGCAGTAACAAAGGCATGTTTCTCATTCACGCTATCATGTATATCATACGTCAGCCATAACCTGGCTCCACTTTGTCCTTTATCTGGAACTTTGCTGATTGTCATGTGGAGAAAAAAGAGAATAGGTAAACTATGGCCCTGGATCTTAAAGCTTCTGCCTGAAAGTGACACACCTCACTTCTGCTCTTATTTCTTTGGCCAAAACACATCAAAAGGCCATACCTGCATTAAATGGGACAGGGCTATATAACCCTCTTGTAGGAAGACACTGCAGACAAAGCCACAGAACACGGGTAAGGCCAGACACAATCTCGGACAAGTCTTCTAGGTAAGACAGTTCATTCACGTCTTTCAGTTAAAAAGTCTCAGGCAAAGCTAATATCCCCACTCATGAATGTTTTATCCTGTGATTACTGATTCTCCACATCCATGCCCATGAGACTGAAATGACTAAAATGACCAGTGTATTTTAGAACCTTCTGTGGGCTACTGCCACCGCCTAACCTGCCAGTCTAGCTTTGTGTCAGTCCTCGCTGCGGTGGTTGATCTCAGGCAATTTCTGCCATTCACTCATTCACTCCATAGGACCCATGCCTTCCATAAAGGAAACTGTTCTACTTCCTACACAATGAATGGTAAAATATACTCTTTCTGATGACATCACATTGCTGAATACCTCCAAGGTGTAAGAAAACTATAGGGAACCTTACGTGAGAATTCTGGTTGTTGGTTCCTAAATTAAATTATGTACCCACTCTATTTTATGGCATTTAAAAAGATTTTGTCTTTCCTGGAAAAGGAAGAAATGCTTATGAGAACTTCCATCCTTTGACAGAATTGTGCCTGAATTGTGCTCTTTTTATTCAAAACAGAATAACCAGTAGGAAGAAAAGCCAAACTATCACTTTGTTAATTAATTAGTCCATTTCACGGGATGGACACACTGGGGAAACATCGTGAAATGCAGCCTTGTTCTGCTATGGTTCAGACTGCAGACAGATAATTTTAAGTTGTAGAATTCAACGACAGATAAGAGAAAGAAAGCAAGGTTGAACTAGTTCATCTATAAATGAAAAAAAAAAAAAAGGCTTCCATAGCCTTCCATAAATTAAAACAGCCTCATTAGTAACTGACCAGCATAGCAATAAGATAGCAGCAAATTTTCTCGCGAACATGGTTTACCATTTAAACAAAGTTCTTCATGGTATTTTCTTATATTTAAAATGATTCCTGTCCAGGGCATATTGCTACTTTGTATTCCTCTTGATATTTTCATTTAAAAGAAAGCCGCTGTGCAAAATAATGTCCTTGTCTGTCCCTTCCTCATACAAACCTCCAATCAAATTTAATAAAGCTAGTTTGATACAATGCCAGCCTACACTTGGTTTACCCTTGGTCGACTTTAATAGGGTCAAAAATATTTTCGCATTGGCAGTGTACGCATTAATCATTTTTCCAGAGGATTTAGAAAATTGGAAGAGACAAGGCCAAGCAAAATTTTAAATTAATTGGGCCTACCCCAGCCTTCCAGGGTCACCTTGTGGCAGTTGTCCCACATTTTCCAGGTCACGGAGTTCCTGTGTTTCCTACAGCTGCCATGAGGAGAGATCCAGGCTGTGGGCACACAAAGGTGAAAGAATTTCTCTCAGAAAGTGCGAATTTTCCTACGGCAACCACAACAATTGCAGTTTCCAGATTGTCGCCAGACACCAACCACTTAAATAATGCATGCTCGGCTGACGCCTCCACTTGTGCATTTTCTAATCGAGTAGTCAGGAAAATTTGCAAACACTCTGTCATTTACCATAAATCCGCTGCCTACTTATAACCGCAGAGTAATTAATTTTAGTACTGCTCAGAATTATTAATTTCAGCCAGAAAAACCTGTTTTCACAATTGCTATATCCCCCATTTTTTTTTTTTCTCCACCGATACTCATCAAAAGGTTGAAGCCGTTTTCTTACAGGGGAAGGTTTATTCAGAATAATGTTATTGAGAGTCTGTAGGACAGCAAGAATGGAATCTGTATTTCTGATTCTAATCTACACTCTTGTGCTCCCGCATGTCTGGTTGGTTCACCACGTGAAAGTAGCAACATAAAATAAAGTTTTTTTCATGACAGTGGCGATACAGTTGCCCTTAAGCCTCACTGTGTGATAAACACCCCACCTCATGGTTTGGTTCTTCTAAGAGAAGGTAGCAATGGGCTATTGCCCTCCATGCCGAAAATACTTTGAGCCTTTTGAGCAAATTAGCAAATATTTTTCACTTGCTTAAATGATCTTGGCATTTCACAGAAGAGAGAGTAAGAATCTTTACCAAGGATAAAAATAACTTGTGGAATACACAATTATGAATACACTGGTATGAAACTCTCAGCAATCACGTGTATATCTAACATACACGGAATGAAAATGGAGCATTAAATATGGCGCGTTTTAACTTGGTAACGCTAAATCTGGCACTCTCTCATTTGATATTAGTTCCCTGCTAAAGCAGCTGCGTGATATGTCACAAGAATGTCCATATTATAAATACGTAATGAGCATGAGAACATTGGTACAGCTTTGTTTGACTAATAACCAGAACCCTCCCTATCAGTAGAGGAATACATAGCTAGCACAAGTATGGGCACTTTAATTGCCATGGAAGATTTCGTTTCCGCTTCCCACTGCATGAGTGATCAAGAAAAAAATGAAGGGAAAGTAAACTAACATCCAGAGATGTAAACATGACTCACTGGGAAATCAGACATGGTTAAGTAAATTCCAGGATGTCTGTGGTTATCTGGGTCTAAACACTGCTGATAGTTCTGACTACTCTTGTTTTTAACTGTTTTTCCTCTGGGTGCTTCTTAGTCCAAGTGCTAAGACTTCAAAGACTTCCACCTCCTGATTATGAACAGTCTGACTGCTTCATAGCAAGGGAGAGAGGTCAGTAAGTATTACTGAAATTACCTGGTGGAGCATAAAATACTTCACCAAGACCATGATCTAGTGCAAAAACTAATGATTTAAGAGCAAGGCTGACTTGTCGTGATGCACACAGGTGATATACAGAAGTGTTAAATCGTTATAGTGTACTCCTGAAATGAATAGAATGCTATGTGCTAACTATCCTGGAATTAAAATAAATAAGTAAATAAATAAACACATAAAAGCGGGGTTGAGAAAACTTGACTGCTGCTATCTGGGTACTACACCTTCTCTTTGTAATACAGTAGGGGTGAGAGAACACGACTACTGTTATATTAAAATGGGAAGTTCTAAAAAGGTTTAAAAAGATATCAGGTTACAGACACACAGAGAAAGATCATAAACAGGAAAAATATGTCAGAAAGGGAATGTTTTAAGATAAGCTGCTTGGACTTCAGAACTACGTGGGAATCTTGAGGGATTTGACACAGCTCTTGTGGAGAGCTGTGAACTATCTAAAATTCTAGCACTCAGTGTGTGCTCTGGGCTCAGCAAGAGATGCATCACCTGGGAATCTGTGGGAAAGGCAGAGGCTTGAGCCCCACCCTAAGCTACTGAATCAGAAACCTGTGCTAAGAAGATCCAGGAGAGGGGTGCCTGGGTGGCTCAGTTGTTAAGTGTCTGATTCTTGATGTCAGCTCAGGTCATGATCTCACAGTTCATGGGGACTGTGCCTCACACAGGGCTCTGTGCCGACAGTGTTAAGATTGCTTGGGATCCTCTCTCTCTCTCTCTGCCCCTTCCCTGCTCTCTCTAAATAAATAAATGAATGAATAAATGAATGAATGAATGAATAAATAAATAATTTTTTTTTAAAAAAAGATCCAAGAGATTTATGTGCACAGTAATGTCTGTGAAGCACTGGTCTAAAACATAGCTGTGGAAAGCAAAGAAATTTCACAGATACAAAACAAATTTTTGCAAAGGATCTACTTTCCATCTTCAGTTCAAGCTAACTAATTACCTTCCAGGTCAACACTTCTTTATTTCCCCCAAGTTTTCTGCACACACAAAATAATGTTGTTCCAGACAAGGATACAATGAACATATCCTCAATAAACTAACTTGTATTTCATGTCAAGGGTGGGCCCACTTGAAAAAGGGAAGTATTGTATACTTAAGAGTCAAGCAAAGAGAAAAAAACCCTAACATCTCTAAAGTGCTACTAAAGTTTCTGGTTTTATATTCCATTGACTTTTGTCTCTTTTGATCCGACCTCTTATTTAGAGTGGTAGATTTGGCAAACACGCCTTTGGAGCTATAATCTTTTATCTTCTTGGTTACGAAGCAAAGCTCTGAATACTCCCAAACTGATGAAATAAAACCCATCTCTTTTTTTCCAGTCCTTAAATTTCCTGGGCTATGATAAAGATTCATGAGGGGAAAAAAAGCATTTTTTAATCACCATGATAAATAATTCAAACATTGTGTAACTAATCCAGAAAAGAACAGAGTTCAACCCCATTAATTAGTCATTACAAACTACTGACTTGTACAATAACATCAGTAGTGTTTCAGGCATAAAATATTAGGGAGTTATGTCCAAGATATGGAGTTAGGATACAGGACTTAAAACACATGATTTCTTTTTTTTTACTGAAAATATGTGTTACTAAATTGAGGCACCAGTGAGATACCATGTTGCCCAATATTACTCTTCTCTATTAATCACAAACATTTAAACTTTAATTCATGGTATGTTGTTCAAAGCAGCCCCGTCCTGCTCTTCACTGTATTTTGACAGCAAACTGAATTCTTGTTCACAAGTATAGGATTTGTTTAGCTTCAGGCATCTGTGTTTGGATTACAAGAATGCTGATTGGTTCACTGCCAGGGGCACCCAAAGGTCAAGCTGTCCTTTTAAAAGTACGGTCTCTGTCTCTCTCTCTGTCTCTCTGTCTCATTAATCAGAGTTAAAAGAGGAAAAAGCAATGACTTCAAATCATTTAATTCTTTTTCAAGGATATCTTTAAAAGCAGAACTCGGTATTGGTGTGAGGTCGAGTCAATGTGAGTACAGATCACACTGGCACACTTCTGACAGGTGACCTGAAACCTTTCAAACTGACATCTGTCACAGAGACAGACACAAGTTTTTTAGCTCAAGAGCTTGTTTTCCTGACATTTCATTTTTCATCAGATTTTGAGAGAAGGGAAAAAAGATGAACTTGAAAAAGTCTTGCCAGGGGCAGAAAATAAGATCAGGTTTTCTGCAGCTGCCTGACTTACCTTTAAAGGTTAGAGGTCTAGCAAAAGTGAACAAAAAAGATCTCAGTTTGATGTTATTGGATAAAAGGACATGTTATTACTTTAAATACGTTTCTGAGGCTTGCATAACCATTAGGCAGCATTACAGGAAAAATGGAATCAGAGTGAGATTACATATCCATTTTAAATCCCAATTTCAGAGTTTAGTCATGGAGTAAATCAAATCCAACCTCACCTATTCATCTGGCACAAAAGATGAAATCCACAGGTGCATGAATTTTCTCATGAATTGAATAATTTCCTGCTCCTATGGTATTGAAATGCCCAGTGAAATTTAGACAAGGTATAGCAACTCTTAGCCTGGACGAGAAGGATATCTGCATTACGATAGTTACATGGTTTATCTTGACTGGAAAACATTAGGAAAATGTATCTTTTGAATAATAGAGAAAAGAACTCAGAGTCCAAAAATACCTCGGTTATAATCCTGGCTCTACTAAAAGTATGATCTTAAGCAAGTGAGACTTTGGTTTCAGTTTTATCACCTGCAAATGGGGGAAATAATATCTATTTTGTGGAGTTTCAGGAGATAATGTATTAGTATCCTACTAAATATAAAACAGTGTGTGGATAAATGGACACTATATTATGCTCATGTGTTTTTTTTTTTATTATTCTGCTGCTTCACGCAGATATTCCCCAATTTACAACAGGGCTATTTCTGAAAATATCTTAAGGTGAAGATGCACTTAATGTGCCTAACCTACCGAACATCATACCTTAGCCTCGCCTACCTTAAACACGCTCAGAACACTTACATTAGCCTACAGGTAGGCAAATTCACCTAACACAAAGCCTATTTTATAATAAATTGCTGCATATCTCATATAGTTTCTTGACAACTCGACTGGATGAAAAAACCAGAATGGCTGTACAGGTACAAAGTGGTTGTGAGTGTCTGGGCTGTTTGTCCTAATGATTGCATGGCTGCCGGCATGGCCACTGCTCAACCTCACAAGAAAGGGTCACACCATATATCACCAGCCCAGGGAAAGGTCAAACTTCAACATCTGAGGTACCACTTCTACTGAATGCATATCACTTTTGCATCGCTGGAAAGTCAAAAAATCACAAATCAAATACTGTAAGTCAGGGACCATGTATACAGTACTTGACATGAAGTTAGCATTAAGTAAGTGCCTCCTGATTTAAAATGAAAGGCAGTAATTCCATTTTATTATCAGATCACCAATATTTTTTAACTGAGTCCAAGAAATTTTTCTATGAGAAACAGCATGGCTAAAGGTTGGGAGATGTATTTTTAGAGATTATCTCCAAATGCGGATACAGGAGCAATAACTTTAGAATTCACTAAGAGACTGGGCCCATATGAGACCATATGATTTCAAGCTCAAGCAAGCAGGCAACTCAA